TACGTCTGTCATGGAGCTCAAAGATTTTGCACTTCTGACACTCCCTGGTAGTGCTGATGCTACTGGTCCAGGGGCCTCACTTTGAGAACTACTGGTCCAGGGCAATTTCATATGAACTAATCCCTTTCCTTTTGAATGATTTCATCTATTTAGCCTATTTTAGAATTGTAGCGTATTAACAAATCTCTGACGTCATCCTCTATCCTGACACCAATGGAGAGGGCCCTTCCATAGCGCCCGTTAGATGGTATTCAAGACTGTGGGTGAACAAAGCCAGTGCAGGGACTCACCATATCACAGTTCCTTCTTTAGCTACTCCAAGTCTCCCATACAGTGATTATTAAAAGGAAGCCAACCACATGGCCCAGCTTTATCCTCTGGAAAAAGAACAACTCTACTTTTTCTGTATCATGGCCCTTTACCTAAAGGCAGCACTTTATTTCCTTTTATATCTCCTGAGTTCAGAACAATCCAGCATTTGGAGATCTGTATGAAGAGGAAAGAAAATGAGTTCTCCCTATACGTCCACGTATAGAGTCACTCATTCAATGCCATTATGACAAACATGGTTGGTGAATCTTTATGCATCATTAGTTGTATCAAAACTTTAGACTATCTCTTTGTGTGCGTTATTGTGTATGAACCTATCATTTATGTTTATTTCTTATTATAAAAAGTTACATTTACAGATAATCTAAAAAGTATTTTTAAAAAGGGAAAAATCACGCGAAGAACAATATTGTCAACATGCAGGTATATTTTATTCCATGAGCACATTTTTTCTTTCTTTCCTGTTTTTATTTTTTTATGTATTTGCTTTTTAAAATACTTTTATTAAAAATATAGCTAACATACATATTATATTAGTTTCAGGTGTACACCATAGTTATTCAACATTTATATACCTAAAGAAGTGATCACCATAACAAGTCCAGCAACCATCTGACACCTTACTATGCTATCACAATATTATTGACTATATTCGCTATACTGAACATTACATCTCCATGACTTATTTGTTTTATACCTGGAAATTTGGACCTCTTATTTCCCTTCACCTTTCCTCCCCTTTTAAATTTTTCAGTTACAGTTGACATTCAATATTATTTTATATTAATTTCAAGTGTACATCATAGTGGTTAGACATTTATAGAATTTAAAAAACGATTTCCCTGACTAGTTTAGTACCCACCTGGCACTATACATAGTTATTCATAAGCAGGGTTTTTCTATAAGCAGGTTGTTATTGTGGACATATATATATATAGTGTTAAAAAATAATAAAATATAAGCCTTTGTTTACACAGCTGGTTCTGTCTGGAATATCCCACCCATCCCCCTCCTCCATTGGCCTGGTGAATTCATCTGTCAAGACTTAGCATCATTCTAGTTATAAAATCTTTTCTGACTCTACACAGGTAGAACTAAGTACGTCATCCACCATCCTCAGGGTCTCCACTCAAAATGTACCCTCTACATTTTTCTATAGAACACTTAAAATAGATTACACTTATTTGCTTATAGGTTTTATTCACTGTTTAGTTTTTATTTTTTTGAAGATTGGCACTGGGTTTTAGTCATTTCTTTTTTTTTTAATCTCCAGTACTCAGAACAGGGCCTTAATTAGTATTTATTTAGTGACTAAAATTCTCCATGTTATTACAGAATCTCCCTAAACATGTTTAATGTCTCCGCTGTAGTGCAGACATAACAATTTACTTAAGCAATTCCTCATTATTACTTAGGGTGTTCTGAAACTTTCACTATGTTAAGAAAAGATTTCTGTTTAAACTTGTGTTTAAAATTAAAATTAGCTCCTTGGTATACCTTCCCAGAAGTGAAATTAATATGTAAAAGGAAATAAACATTTAAAGTTCTTGACATATACTGACAACTTTCATTTGGTTACTCTGCCATCAGCCATACACATAAGCCTGCATCACTGGACGAACTCCATAAACAGTAAGGTCTTATTGCATCTCAACAATATCATGTATGTCCATTTTTCATCTTTGTTAATTTGATAAGAGGAAAAAAAGTGACATTTTACTTTAATCTGCATTTCTTTACCTCCTGGTAAAGATGTACATTATGATCATCTTTGCTAATCAGTTGTCTTTCCTCTCTTATGAATTATCTATTGATGTGCTCTGCCCACTTATCTACTGGGTTTTAGTGTTATCGATTTACATGGCCTCTTTATATATTAGCTGTCTCATGTAATTTAATCAAATATTTCCCCAGGTTTCCCTTTACTTTTTTTCTTTTTCTTTTTGCCAACAGACATTTAAGATTTTTGTGTACTCAAACTTAGCTTTGTCTTTGTATTTATTGCATTGCATCTGTTATCTTTAGGACATAGTTGATTTTTGTGTTTGCGTGTAAGTTTGTTTATGTATGTTAGAGGTATGTGTCTAGGCATTTAGTTATCAGCTTGATGCAAGGCTTGAGCTTCTAGTTAAGCTTAACTGTGTCAGAGTAAGCATCTTTATGCAGTAACATTGCATAGCTCTCCATGAATTAACTGCTTTGGGTGATAAGGGTTAACACTGGATGAACTCTAAACAGTAAGAAAAATGGAAGTAACAGAAATAATGGTTAACTATTCATTTCTTTAAGAATTTTGGGAGGTTCTGATTCTGTTTTCACCATTAGAACTAAATTAGATTAAAAATGCATTGATTTGCTGGGGGGTAAAAGGCCCAATATAATTACATAAATACCAATGCCAAATATAGTTGTTGGTAATGTATTAAGCTCATCCCTTATCTCTGAAAGAACAAAGAGAAGTCGCTATGTGCATGTTAGTGAGACTTTCAGGATTCCTTACTAAATTATCAAATATCCCTATAGAATACAAAACAAATCTCTAAATCCCAAGTTATTCTTTTATATATCTGTGAAATCCTCAAAATTTCATGAGGGAAATAAATCTTCGTTCAAGAATAAACTTTAAAGTTTGAATACAAAGGCAGATGAAGTGTAAAAAGTATATTCTAACCTGCCAGATAGCAAGTCACTCTTAAAAGGGAAATGATAAAAAGGCAATAACTGAGTTTACACATACAATCTAACATCAGTGAATGTGTGACCAGATCAATTACTTTCCTGGTGGGCATATTAGATGCTGGGGTTATAACTGAAATCATTGTCTTACATTCAATGTGGAAAAGTGATCCCACATTGAATGTAAGACAATGATTTCAGTTATAACCCCAGCATCTAATACAGTGCCTGCTATGCAGTAGCTACTTAAGTATTTTGGGGAAAAAAAAAATTGACTAGTTTCAATAACATGTGACATGAAGGGATATTCGATGCAATAGAAAAGGGAATTATAGAAAAGAGAGAACACCTATTTCAAATATTATAAAACTGTTAGCTCTGTATTCCAGTACTGAATCCTACTTGGTGATACTCTTACCAAATCCCTTTAGGCCACCATTACTTTCAACTGTAAAACTGAATGATTTCATTCAATTAACTTCAGCACCACTGCAAGCTAAAGAACTGGATTTTATTCATAGAATTTCATAACTCAACTTAAAGAGAATTTTAAATAATGCTCTATGTAAAATATTTTGTAACGTAAAAATCTTTGGGCAATGTGAAAACGTTCTCAACCTCTTCCTCTCCCAGACAATGTTATTCAGTGCAGTAAAGGTCGTTTTCAAGCTCTTTGGGGTAAATTCTCTCCATCTCTAAGCACCTGGCGCAACATTTTTGCTCACAACACACATTCAAAGATCAACTCTAGAAAAGCACATCTATGAACTGAAAGGTTAGCATTTATTCCAAGTTCTTAAAGAGCACAGAAGTGGAGGCTATGGTGAGAAAGAATAGGAAGGTAAGAACAGGGAATGCAGAATTCAATTCTAGTTCTTAAATGTTCAAGATGTCAAAAGAAGAATTTTAACACTAGAACTAAACTGGGCTCAGCATTAAGTCCTAGCTACTATATAATATGGCCCTTATCTTAAATTCTCTGTTTCTTACAATCTAGCACGTAACAGGTTTTCAAATAAGATTAAAGAGAACAAAGAAATCAAGAAGCCCAGTTGAGAGTAAAACAGGACTACCATTCAGTATTTTATTACATAATGTAGCTTTGTGTTTAAGTACGTGGCCTCTGGGTTCAAACCCATTATGTCATTTATATCTCTCCACTTCACTTTTTCTCATCTGCAAAATGGGGTAATAAGGCTGATCTAAGAATTAAGTGAGTTAATACATGCAAAACACTTGGAACAGTGTCATTTTTTTTTTTTTTAGTGTACGTTTGACTTCCTTAATGAACAAACTCTTGAAGGCACGGCCCTAACTTCTGTCTTAGCACGGCGCCCAATACAATGCTCAATGTCTGCATATCTTTTAAATAGAAGGAACTGACAATATACACTAGGTTACGGTCGCCCAGGAGACTGACGTGGAAAGACTCGAAGGCCGAGAAGGGCCGGGACTCCGCGACCCCCATCCGCGCGACGCCACCGCTTTGTCAAACAGAGCAAAGCCCTCTGGGAAGTGTAGTTTTTAGGCCTTGGGAGGGACTTCGGCCATGGATCGGAGCCAGCTAGTTTGCAGGGCGGTGGGGCGAGGGGAGTAGTAGTTATCGGATAACTCTATAAAGTGTCGGGAGCCCCAGCGGCGGGTTAAGCAGCTCACCTGAGTCTCCCAACACCAGTACCTTCACCCGATCCAGGGACACCATCTTGCCACTGCCTTCTTGGGGTTAATTCCTGTTCCGTATTGTAGGCCAATCAGAGCTGGGCTTGGAGGGCAGAGCCTTCAGTTTCATTGACCAATCAGAGAGCGACTGCCTTGATTGACGGCTTCACTGTGCTGATTGGCCAGCCTGGTGAAAAGTAGCGGGTGGTTTCCAAAACTGGTCGCAGGAATAAAGCGTTGTCTTTGTCGCTCGAGTGGTGTGACACGTTTAAGCCGGTAGTTGAGGCGCTGAGGGAAGCTGTAGTGGGAGTGTTCGAGGATTCGCTTTGGTAAACCTTGTTCCCTGTTCCTTGTTCTCGGTTCCCTGGCCCGGAGTCGCATTTCAGGGTTTCTCTTCCTTTTTGCTCCTGGTCCTTAGCCACCCTCCTCCTCTTAGCTACTCTCTTGACTTGGTCCCTAAAGAACCATTGACCCCGGAGCGTCCCGTGTGCGACCTCGGGTAGGACGGGCTTGGCTGCGCCGAGTGTGGCCCCTGGACTTAGCTAGCAGAGTCCGAGGGAATTTGGGGTCTCGCAGTGGGGAGGAGTGGACATTATTGAACCGGGCTCGTGGAGGGCCGCTGGGTCCACAGGTTTCGCGGTGGTGTGCAGCTGTATGTATGAAGGCGTGGAGAGTACCATGAAATATGGTAACTGAGAAAACCACAGTTAAATGTATAGGATCGAAGTTATTCCAGAACTGGAGTAGTAGTATACTGAAATAATCTAACTAGTCCTCCCCCGTCCTCTCCTTTCTCCTTTTATTTTACACTCTTCAGTCAGCATAATCTCTTAAAATTGTGAATTTGATCGTATTACCTGCTGCTTAATTAAAACCATTTAAAGTTTAAGACGAGGGTTTCCAATAGCTTGTCTTTTTCTACTCTGGAAGCAGCAGTGGAGGAAGTAAATTGAGGGGAAGCTGTCAGGGTGGGCATGTTGGAAGAACACGTGCTTAGGAGATATATTGAAAGTTTTATGGAAGTATTTGACTAGCTGTGCTGGATGCTGGAAAATCAGTGCTGAACAAGGTTAAGTTCCTGGTCTCAGAGATAATCATGGAGAATTACAAGGCTATTCACTCCAAGGAAGAAGGTTGGGAAAGAAAGGGGATATAATACTAAGCTACTAAGGGGGTAACTGGGAAGGTCTCTTTGAGGAAATGCCACTTGAGATGTGAAGGATTATTAGGAGAAGAGAGTTTGGGCAGAGAGAACAGCATGTGCAAAGGCCTGGAAGTGGGGAAGGCATGTGTGGCACGTGGAATTGAGATGAGGCTGACAAGGCCAGACAGTGCAGAGAATGCATTCGTTTTAATTTTGTTTCTCCAACTGCCTGGTACACAGTAGTTCTTCATTGTTTGTATGATTAGAATACGTATGATTCAAAAACAAAACCAACCTGTTTTTTTGTGATCTGTGCTGGGTAGGGAGGTAGGTGAGACTGGGAGGTGACTGAGACTCTGAGGCTAAAGAGAGGACAAAAAAGCTTGCCCTAAGAGGCCGCACACTTAAATATTTCTAGAGGCCAGCCAAGCTCTTTCTTTGCTTAAAAGTGACAGCTGCTTCTCAGCTTCAGGTTATTGTTTCTATGTGGGAACATGCTTTCACTTTTCCTCAGATAGTTCCAGTTTTCGAGAGGAGCTGAATATTGAGATTTATGTGAAATCCCACTATTTTAAAATATTGATGACTAACTCAGAAAATTTTCAAAACATTCTTTGGGTCAGACAGTATGGCAGAGGCTGCCAGTTTGAGACCTCTGACTTAAGTAATTTAAGGAATTCAGAGATTGAGTAGGAGGTTCAGCCTATGTGGGGAAATAGGAGTGATGGAGCAGGGAAGGCACTGGTCAGGGAGGAAGACTTTACAATGTAGAGATTTTGAACAAGGTGACTTCTTTCCTGGGCTTCAGTTTCATTTGTTCAGCTACTTGCTGGATGGACATTTTCACAGCAATATTTCCTCAAAGAAAGGCAACCAAAAGTGAACGCTCATTTCTTACAAACCTGTTCCTATTCAGGTGTTAACCTATTGTATTTTTTTTTTTGGTAGTAGTTTTCCTAGTTACGCTGGCTTAAAACAAATAGTTATATATTATTGTTAAATAACATTGTTTGATGGGTATAGTGTTTCAATTTTATAAGATGA